CATACAAAGCGTGTTTTCCGCTTTGTATGTCATTGCTCTGAAGATGTCTTAAGTTAAAGACGAAACGTTAGCTTTCAAATAAATATTTTAAATTATATTTTTGTTATGGCTCTTTTACGTGTTTTATGCTGGGCATTAATATTTATCCTAAGATGACTATTGTATATCAAGTCTTTTTTAATTTATGACACATCATTTTATCCAAAATAAACTTCAAATATAGCCCAATGTAACTATTTGGGTGTATAAAACAAAAAGTAATAGATTTTATAGTATTTGACTAAAGACCAGTTCCTGAGTCCCAGTCCCCCGAGCAACACACCTTTTTTTCCAAAATGCCCTGTTTGAGGCCCGATATCTCAGAAATTATTGTTTTATATCAAAAAAGGATCTAGACCCCCTATACTAACTTTTTGTGCTCTTTCCAAATCCATAAAAATCCCATGAGTGATATAGGCACTTTAAGGATAAATGGATAACTCGACAAATGACTACTGTATTTGCGATAGATGAACCAGGCGGAAATTGTAATCTTAGGATAAATATTAATGCCCAGCATAAAACACGTAAAAGAGCCATAACAAAAATATAATTTAAAATATTTATTTGAAAGCTAACGTTTCGTCTTTAACTTAAGACATCTTCAGAGCAATGACATACAACGCGTGTTTTCCGCTTTTATCTTACCTTGTCTAACAACTCATTAAGACCCCATTCACAAATTCACACTAATATGCTCTATTTCAAAGCCTAATATTTTGCCCTGTTAAAACCAGACTATTTTGCATTATTTGACGTTATAATTCACCCTAACACTCAATCCCCACTTTCAGTACTTTGATATTTAATTATCAGATGATTTTACTCATCAAAATGAGTGCTGGTCATTGAAAGGTTAATAGACAGATTTAGATCGAGGACACAGATGTCAAAGATGACGTGAAAATGGCGTGGCATATCCATACATGGGCACAACACGACATTTTCATGTTGTCTTTGATGTCCGCATCCTCGATCTAAATCAGTCTAATAATTAACTACAAAAGCTGCTGTGTTGGCATATTTAGAAGCAATGCGCCCTACTTTTAGTACTTTGTTATTTTACTGTGTTTATTCTAGTAATGTCCTAGACTCTACACTAAGAGTAAAATAATAAATTGGGTGCATTTAGGCATATTTAATGGTTAACTAGACACATTGGAATGGTATACATTAAACAAATGTATTTGTCTTTTTACAGCTTCTGTATCAACAAAGTGTGGATGTAAGGGCTCAGAGGTTCGTCAACGTATGAGGACAAAAATAAACAACATGGGAAAGTATTGCAAAGAACAGAAAAGCAAACAAGAACTTATTTGAGGACTATGTTTTGAGGCCAGTTTTAAACTTAACTTGAAATGTCAATTATGGTTATTACCTATGGTTTAACCCATTAAGAGCCAGCGCTCTAACAAGTAAAATCATCTGGCATTAGACAGAGTAAACTATAGTAAAATAATAAAGTAGGGCGCATCAGCGCGCAATGCGATTCAATGGGTTAACTAGACACATATATAGGAATATAGGCTAGTTAACCCATTCAGAGCCAGCATTCTCCCCTTGACATTCAAGTACAATTGTCTGGAGTTAGAGTAAAATAGTCTGGCATTAGACAAAGTAAAATAGTCTGGTGTTAGTAAAATAATCAAGTAGGACGCATCATATGGCATTGCATCGAGGTAGAACGATTAATTTGGCAGAATAGGTGAAAACTATAATTGATTTGTAATGTTTAGTATAACCAATTTCTAATATTAATATTTATATCTATTTTTTGCATAAAAAATGAACAACATTGTGTGTCATTTACTATTTCATCTAGATTCTAGAATTTCTGCAGGAATACCCAAAATCTTATAGGAAATTAGGATTAATTATTTTCTGATAGGAAATTCCTATAATAATTTGGGACTAGACATGAGAATTCTTGTAGGAATTTTTCCAAAAGCAGGCCATATTTTACAATGCCATTTGTCAAAACAAATTTGAATTACCATAGTAAAAAAAGGCAGGTGAAATTCTATAAATATATTTCATTTCATTTGCTTACCACAACTCATATATACTAGATCATTTAGTTGACTAAATTATCTAAAAACGTTTATATTTGAAATGTAATTCCAAGTTTACTGCAGTAAAATAGACAAGTTTAAAAGTAACAAGACGCTCTATAGAACGTTAACTCGCTGGGGCTATACAAATACACACCAATCACATTACAGTATATGATACGTTACATACAGTACACACAGCTACTTCCATTAAGATTTAAGGTTGTCCCCGAGCTAAGCGGAAAAGTCAAATACGAGCGTGAAAGGCTTAACACAGTACAAAAATGCAATTTGGTTCCCTACAAATAAAACTTCCAGCGTTTCCACCTACAAGTAAAGCTATATTCTTCTGTCTGCCGCCAGTTGGTCTGTAGGCTAGGATTAAACTCTGCTTTAAAACGTTCAAAACAAAATATTTGGGGGCTTTTGGGCTCAGAATACTACTAAAATGAACCCGGAGAAGTGAGACGAATCCACTGGTATACGGCATGAGAAAACCAACGATACGAAAGTTTATATCAAGGATCAAACATACTGCATTTTTCATAATTAGTTTAATCATTTTTGAGCAATTTGTCAACAATAAAATTTCACTAGAATACTGTCGTTTAGTAATACATTTGACATCCGTAATTACAATTTCCTATGCTGAATCGAATGGTGGTATTTTTATTCTTATTGCGCCATTAGGCAATACAAATACAAGGACAAACGTACTGCAAGTGATTTGTCAACAATACATACTGCGAGCGATTTGTCAAATACAATTTCGCTTGATTTTCAAAGGCCATAAATCGCTCAAATACTGTAACTGGTGTTTAGTAATACATATGACATCCGTAAGTACCATTTCTTACACTGAATCGAATGGTGGCATTTTTATCTTATTGCGCTACTAGGCATTACTACAAATACTAGAATATATATCATATTCGCACTTGAATTTTCACGTTTCCACAGCTAACTATTAGCCAGGGACTGTTGTTGGATAAATTTTACATTGATATGACACCATTATGCTTCCCATAAAGTAGTTATCTATTAAAACTACGTTGTGTAGTTTAAGTTATGACCTTTTACCTTGAAATTGCCTTTGGCTCAAATATATTCACATTCAGTATGTTATGATCATGCACGGGAATAAAACGATCCAAATTTCGGATTTTCAGAGTCGTGCAGCAAGAAAAATGCATTAACTAAACTAGCAAGAATGTCCAGAGTTAGATACGATGAATCCATAGAAAACAGGTACAATTCATTGAAAATTTTAACAAAATTGGAAAAACTAGCTTCATATTAATCTGAAGTAGTATTACCCCCCCCCTCCCCCCCGTATAGCGCCGGAAGTTCCGTATAGCGCCGGAAGTAATTAGTATACAGGAGCGAATAGAGCACCGGAAGTAATTAGTATGCAGGAGCGTTGGGAAACATGGGGGTGTATTTGAATCAATCAGTAATACAAGTTCATTTACACATTGGTTTCCATAATGAACGGTTCAAACGAGAAGCTTCGTCTGATAGAAATAATATACGCCAAGCTCATTGCACATAGCATTGAAGGGAAATTTAGCCTGTTTTGTTGCGGGTGTAAAATCCGTGACCAGGACTGCTTAATGTTGGATGAGTTTGAAAAATGGGAGATGTATGGTCTTGATGTTATAGGGGAAGCCGGAACTAATTACGCCGTCTGGCGTGAATTTAGTAATGTTATTGAAATCCTGAATGTTCTGTTTGAAAAATATTTCACGGAACACTTGTTGAGCTTGGAAGAAAACCCTGATCTTGTGCTGATAGAATCATTATTTCAGGAATACAGGGACAATCAATCATTAATCGAAGTCCTATGCGACTTGTCTAATCCTAAAGCAGATCTATTGGAACCTGTTGCAGAGTGTCTCTTCAGCAGTCCGCCTACCTTTATATATTATGTTGAGGAAAGAGAGGTTCGAGAGTAAGGAACAAGATGAACAAAAGGCATATCAGAACTATCTCAAAGATAAACTTCGAGAACATTTTAATAATTTGTGAAATATACTTTTTGTTAATAAACAATTTTTAAAAAAATATATATATATATATTGTTTTTAAACTATGAACCATTTAATGTTCTGCGCTCCAGTAGCTGAGATATCCCAAAACGGCTTGATATTCAGGAAAGTCTGGCTTGAACTTCAAGTGTTTTAGGAATTCGGCGGTTGTTTCTGGGTCTTTGGTTAGATTTTTGAAATGTTGAATGACATGTTCATGAGGGTCTAGTTTCATGACGCGTATAGCTTCCGTGAATTGTTTCAAAACCGTTTGATGTTCGATCACTCGCTTTACTGCTTCCGATCCATGCATTATCCATCCCTCTTCTCCGGACATCATGAGGCAATCATGTCTTTTCTGACTTGGATGATTTACTTCACAACCGCAGCATTTTTCTTTTCGAAGTTTATGGACTTGACAGTCAACGGCTTCCGAAAAGATAGTATTCATTAGATTACACAGGTTTCTGATTTCCCAAGGCACAACTTCGTCTACGTTCAGACACTTTGCCCAGAATACTTGCTCACACGAATTCATTTTGACAGTGTATAGTGACGATTTGCTTTATAATTTATATAGTATGGTGTACATACACGGTGTACGTACACCACTATGTCATGTCTATCTCTGATTGGTTGATGCGTACGAATATAAATTAGGTCTATGTACATGGTGTATGTCATAATCGTGCCCATCCCTGATTGGTTAGCTGTGTTGGATGAAGAATATAAATAGAGGAGACGAGCTATTATCATTATTGTGTTCTTAGTTTTCACTTAGGGAAGTTACTTCAAATATACTGTTTACATCGAAAGAGCTTTGGTGGATATTTTGTTTGACAACTAGCTTGTTTTCCAGGTAAATGTTTAGATTTACTTAAAGGGTATTTGTGTAATAATTTTGTTTGAGGGAATTGTTTTTTGGTTTAGATATGGAAAGAAAGATTAAAGAATGTCAGACGATAGCGGAGCTTTTGCCTTTGGAAAGTCAAAACGTATTCAATGAACTGGAAGAACGTTTAGTGTTTGAGAAGAAAATGGAGATTTTTCTGCGGATAAAGGAATGGCGTTTGGAAAACGAACGGTTAGGACTAGTACCTGATCTTACAGATACCTGGACGTCCGAACAACGCGAGAGGTTTCTACGCAATTGGCAAGATGAAGAGCTTCCGATGCAGATTAATCGAGGTGAGAAAAGATTGTATGAAGAGATGAGCAGCGATGATGATGAACCACAAGTCGGTCGCAGACAGAAAAGATCTTATGAAGAAACCAACGACGATAATGAACCGGATGAGGACGATGGTGCGGGAACGTCTAACATTTTTACGGTGCAGAGTGTGAAACAAGTGAATGTAAAAAAGTTCAAAACCACAGGTATGTATTATCATATTCAATTTACGAATGCCTTTGCGAATGTGGAGCTTTCCGAATTTCATGAAAGGCTGCATGAAATATCTCAAAATTTCATGAAAGGCTGCATGAAATATCTCAAAGCTTGCTTGATGAGGTTATCCGTGGCGTCCCTCCTCATGACCAAGTACGTTTCGTCCTGCATTCACCGCAACTGGAAAATCCCATTTCATTTCCGTTCATGCCTTGTGAATGTCTCACTACAGAACGTGTGTTGGCAGAGTTTGAATGCGTGATCCAATCCAATCATCCGATTTTCATCTCAACGATAATGTGGATGTCAATGTTGTTCATGTGGAAATGCCCCATGGTGGTACAGGTACGAAGCGAGCTGAGATTAATTTGGAAAAGCATTTAATGAAGAAACGCTCAATCATACGGATACGGAACAATGATCAACTTTGTTTGGCGAGGGCCCTGGTCGTTGCGAAAAAATTGATAACAATCCCCAGTATACGAGCATTGTTAATCATCGGAGGGCTATGCAAACCTGTTTGGCTCGTGAATTACATCAAAAAGTTGCCGTCCCTTTGGGTCCTTGCGGTTTGGATGAAGTCAAACGGTTTCAGACATACCTTTCTGATTACCAAATTAATATTGTGTCCAAAGATCATCAGAACGCTCTTATTTATGTTGGTCCCGATCAAGAGAAAAGAATTTATCTGTACCTTTACGATAATCATTACGACGTCATTGCCAAAATGCCGGGGTTTTTCGCTCGTAAAAAGTATTGCCATACATGCAAGAAAGCTTATGATCATCGGGAAGATCACTTATGCCCAAATGCCTGTCCATGTTGTCGCTTTCCCGACTGTCCCGTTGAGTCCTGGGTTCGCTGCAATGACTGTAACCGAATGTTCAAAAGTCAAGCATGTTTTGATCGGCATAAACAGTCTAGTGGAAAATCGATCTGTTTGACGATGGTTAAGTGCTCGGAGTGTCATAGAATTATCAAGCGCTATAAAAGAGATTCGCATCATTGCGGTATGACAAAGTGCCCAATATGTAAAGAGTATACCCGGCCCGGCGACCATCAATGTTACATGCAGCCCGTGGAAAAATGGAACGAAAGTTTATCAGACAGTGACGATTCGTTTGAGCACCCTGAGGATGATGTTACGGAAGGTGGGTATGACCAAATGTTATTCTTTGATTTCGAGTGTCGTCAGGAAAATGGAAATCATGAACCCAATTTATGTGTGATTCAGAACGAAGCTGGTGACGAATGGGTATTTGAAGGGGATAACACACGGAACGAGTTTTGCGAATGGTTATTTCAAAAGGAACGGGCAAATAGTGCGGTGATGGCCCATAATTTCCAGGGGTACCACAGTTACTTTATTCTGCAATACTTACGGGAGAACGGTGTCAAGTACGATGTCATCAGGCGTGGCGCCAAAGTGCTTTCCTTATCTGTGGACATGTTCAAGATCAAATTTATCGATTCCTTGAACTTTATCCCAATGAGATTAGCAGATTTTCCAAAAACTTTTGGCATAGACGAGCTGGCAAAAGGGTACTTTCCACATCTTTTCAACAAGAAAGAAAACGAAAATTATGTGGGACCGATCCCACCCACTCCCTACTACAACCCGAATGGAATGAGTCCTGCAGCGAAGCAAACGTTTTTACATTGGCATAGAAATTTGAAAGACAATGATTACGTGTTCAACTTCCAAGAGGAAATTCTTGCGTATTGTCGTTCCGATGTGGATATTCTGCGATGCTGTTGCTTGGAATTTCGCGAACTGTTCCGTGACGTTACTAGAATCAATCCCTTTGAGAAATGCCTTAGCAATCAAGTGTATCGGACAAACTATCTTCGAGAAAACACCATTGCCATCATCCCACCGCGCGGTTACTATCCTGAAAACAAACAGTCCCTTCTTGCACAGAAATGGTTGTCATATACGGCCGAACGAAACAAGATCTACATACAGCATGCTCGCAACGGCGGAGAGAAACGTGTTGGTCCGTACTTGCTGGATGGTTATCATGAAGAAACCCACACAGCCTATGAAGTCCATGGATGTTTCTGGCATGGTAAGTGTTTGAATAAACGCCTCCCTCGAATAGACGCCCGTTAGAATAGTATTTTTGTTTATTTCTTACAGGATGTATAAAATGTTATGCTCGTGATACAATGAACCCTGTCAAAGGTAGAACCATGCACGATCTTCATCAAAAAACCATGGAAAAGATACAGTATTTGAAAAATCAAGGCTACAATGTGGTAGAAGTTTGGGAATGTAGAATCAATCAGGAATTGGCAGATAATGAAGACATGAAATATTACTTTGATCAATATGATGGAGTCGATCCCTTGGAACCTCATGATGCCCTATATGGAGGACGAACCAACGCGTCGAGACCTTACCATGAGTGTAATGATGATGAGAAAATAAGGTAGGACGAAAAAAATTTTGACGTTATGTTTTTACGTTATCTATGACGTCATGTTTTACTATGTCATGTATGACGTCATGTCTTACGTCATCTAGATATGTGGATTTTTCCCTGGTGCAATAAAATGACGCGAACGGTTGTGGGACATCCGCGCATCATCAGCGAGAACTTTGACGGCATTTCCACCTATTTTGGTCTGGTCAAATGCACAATGCTTCCACCTCGAGGTCTGTTTCACCCTGTTCTTCCTTATCGCACCCAAGGCAAGTTGATGTTTGCGCTTTGCAAGACCTGTGCCGATGCCTGTAGCCAGACTCTCTGCGACCGTGAAAGAGCCATTCAGGGTACATGGTGTAGCGTGGAGCTGGAGAAGGCGTTGGAGAAGGCGTTGGAAAAGGGTTATCAAATTGTACAGATTCATGAAGTGTGGCACTTTCCCGAAACCTCGGATGACCTGTTCAAAGATTATATTGACACATTCCTGAAAATTAAACAGGAGGCGAGTGGGTACCCGAAAGATTGCGTCACCAAAGAGCAGAGGCAGCACTACGTGGACGAGTACCTTGAAAAGTTGGGAATCCATTTAGACCCCCAGAAGATTGAATACAATCCTGGATTACGCGCTCTGGCTAAACTGATGTTGAATTCGTTCTGGGGTGAGTACTATGCTTTCATTGATATATTTCTGCTACATGATAGTTAACAGTTTCTCGTTTAGGTAAATTTGCACAACAACCCAACATGGTTAAAACAGAGCAGATAAAAGATCCACAAGTATTCTTTGACTACCTCACTTCTGATGAGATCTACGTGCTTGATGCCAATTTAGTGAGTGACGACATCATCGAAATCCGATACGAGTATACGGACAATTTTATCAAACCCGATGCCAAAACCAACGTGGTCATTGCTGCTTTCACCACCGCCTATGCCTGTCTCAAGCTTTACGGCGTGTTGGACATGTTGCACGAGAGAGTGATGTATTACGATACCGACTCAGTGATTTTTGTCAGCAAACTCAATGAACCCGAACCTCCCCTGGGCAACCATCTCGGTGAATTAACTGACGAATTGGGAGGCGAATACATTACTGTGTTTGCGTCAGGCGGTCCGAAAAATTATTGCTACCGTACGAATAGTGGTAAAGTTGAGACCAAAGTGCGTGGAATCACTCTAGACTGCACGGCGAGGCAAAATGTGAACTTCGAGGTGATTCGTGGATTGGTGTATTTACATGCTAAATGTCAAGTGACAGGGCAAGTGTCTGTGGACATTCCATTTAGAATTACAAGAAATACCCGGACCAAGGAAATTGAAACGAAGCGCATGAAAAAAGACCACAGAATAGTTTATAATAAATGTGTAATTATGGATGATTACAGAACATTACCTTATGGGTACTAGCAGTTGAAATAAATATTTTTACAAAGACGGTTTGATCTCAATGTTAATTTTTAATGTTCAGTTTGTGGTAATGATCCAGATTCACACCCGTTTCCTTCTCCAGTGCATCGACCTGCTTTTCGTTTTTTCTGGCCATGTCCCACATCATCATTTCTCTAGTGTTCATCTGGTAGGTAAAGGTGTTCCCCTGGGAGGCCCGGGGTACCGTTATACCTGTTAATGTTTCCAGTATGATTTGTGTCAACATAATGGAGTGCAGCGTCGCATTGTCAATAAGCGTTGCTGGTATTATATTCTTCTCTATCAAAAGTTTCATCAAATCCAGAGTTGCCAAATTTCCCTCTTGCTTAATAATTTTGGCCGAGAGCCAGTGAGTGACAATGTTCCTCCAAGTCATGTTTGCTTCAAATGATTAGGGAACTAAAGGGCCAGTATCCTTTATAGGTTTTGATTATTGAATAATATGTAAGTTACAATAACTGAAAGATCACATGTTTCAATGCTCGCCTGTGTTTCACGCAAAAGATAGTTTTCCAATCGTCCGCCGTATACTCAAGCAATTCGAAATCATGTACTTTCATATCACTCAGACTTTCAGTAAAGGCCTCCATCACCTCTGTTTTCGAAGCCTTTTCCAGAGCATGATCAAAGTATAGACATAACCGTTCATCTCTTTCCATCGTAAGACACTGGTGATGCGTCTGGGACAGATGCTCTGTCATGCAACCGTTACAATTTTCAACAACGAGCTGAGAGATGATAGGAGTGATTTCTTCCGCGGAAACTTTTAGAAGTTTTTCGACGATACGTTTTTGGCGGTAATAGAAAATAAGTTCCCTATTATCAATATCGATAGGTTTAGACATGTTTACTCTTTGTCTGATCGAAAGTAATGAATGTTCCTTCCCGATGGAAAAAGCATTTATACACGCGTGTACCTTCAGGAACATTTTCATATTAGAGTGTGTGTCATGGGACACTCTGCTAGTAAAAATCCGAAGGTCAATAAGAATCATAATAAACAGAAAATGTTTAGAATCGGCATAAGCGCAGGAAGAAATGATCTTAATCTCGAGGGGCATGTATAAGTGGGATACTTTGGTAAAACCATCAAAAATTACTGCCCCATCGAAAGTACGAGGCCTCAGGAGGATAGTATTCAAACGTTGAAGAATGAAAGGATTCTGTCAATTTCACGTGTGAACATGGACGACTACTTATCCAGCGTTTATTCCGATCCGAAAAGGTCGGGAGGATCTGGCGGAGTGGATCGTTTGTACCAAGATGTTAAAGATGAGGGAAAGTTTAAAATAAGTCGAAAGGAAATCAAGGAATGGTTAATGAAACAGGACGCATACAGATTGCACAAGCCCATGCATCGCCACTTTAAACGGAACCGTGTCATTGTAGGGGGTATTGATCAACAATGGCAAATGGATTTGGCGGACATGCAGTCCATGCAGAAGTTTAACGATGGTTATCGTTATTTACTTGTCTGCATTGATGTCTTTTCCAAGTATGCATGGGTAGTCCCATTGAAAAACAAGACAGGTCCTACACTGGTCAAAGCTTTCAAGGTCATTTTAACGTCTGGATGCAGACCCGAAAAGATCATGACCAATCAAGGAACAGAATTTCTAAACAAACATTTCTGAGCATTGATGAAAGAAGACATCGAACTATACAATACGTACAATGAAACGAAAGCTTCTATCGTGGAACGTCTGATTCGTACTTTAAAGACCAAAATGTGGCATTATTTTACGGCCAAGAAAACCATGCGATACGTAGACATGTTACCCAATCTGGTCTATTCTTACAATCACAGTGTTCACCGTAGCATCAGGACATGACCCGTGGATGTTACTGCTGGGAACGAGAGTAAGTGTGGCACACCCTGTATGATGAGCATAACGTAGCGAAAAATGTAAAGTACAAGTTCAAGATCGGCGATCAAGTGAGAATTACCAAGATGAAACGAACATTTGAAAAGGATACTTGCCGAATTTCTCCAAAGAGAAATAAAGAAAAGCCATGCATTTGTGGGCGATGTCCTGGCAGGTAGAAACGTGAAATCAGCAGCAAAAGCACGAACCATACAGGCCACCAACATTGCAAAAAGAAAAGCTATCGATACACTAAGGAGTCAAACGGGGAGTGGAAAATGGAAGCGCTCAAGAAGTGTAAAGCGTTCAAGAAGTGTAAAGTGAACAGCTAAAAAGAAGGGAATTTGGCCATTGATATCCAGTTTTCCGCAGCGCCTGCAAATGCTGTGAGTCTCGTATGCTACGGAGAGCTTGAGAATACCGTGCACATTGATTCCGAAAGAAACATTGTCTACGATTACTCTGGATGAATACTGCCCAGATAACTCATGCCCTGGAACAAGATCCCGTAACAAGCAAGAAGTTTTGCGGTGTGTTCCCTAGCGACAAGCTGCCTCGGACAATAGACAGATATCCGTGTGGATTCGTTGCGAACACTGATACGAGCAGCAAGCCCGGAACCCATTGGATCAACTGGAAGGGAGAATTCTTTGATAGTTACGGGCATGCACCCGAGTACTACAGGAAATCGTTTGGAGACTCTTTAAAGTCTCGCGCATGGGATTTTAATAGACGTAAATTGCAAAGTGCCTGGTCGGATGTATGTGGCCAGTATTGCATATTTTACCTTAGCCACAGAGCAAGAGGTCAGAGCATGAGTAATATCGTACATTTATTTAACAATGATACTTTAAATGATACGAAAGTATCCCATTTTGTTAAGAGCCATTTTAAGGTATTGTTAAAACATTCCAATGTTAACCTAAACCAGTTCAGTAAAAAGATGTTTTCAATAAAATTGTTGTAAAAAACTATAGTTTTTTTTCTTTTTTTTTGTTTTTATTCTGCGTATGCATACAAACTTGTGTCCCACATGCGAACCGTGCATAAAAATACTGCCCCAAAGAACAGGCGTCAATACAAGGACGGTTTTAAAACATGTTTATTAGTACATGCAAACAGTTACAACACTTTAATAATTAAGCCACTGTTTTGGTTTTCGCCGTCTGTCTTCCGAGTAAACCATGGAGATATTTCGTGGGACTTACACGTGGTGGGGGTGGCGCCAGGTCTCGGTGGCGGTGTCTGAAAAACAACCGCTTCTGCGCCAGACGGACTCCCCCTTTGAACCTGATTCCATCTTTCCGTGTTTCTTGCAATATCCCTGGGTATATTAATCTTTGACAGACTGGGATTAAAATTCTTACGTGCCCGCATAGCATCACTGACCAAATCCGATATATTTGAATCGGGAATCTCTTTGCCATCCACTCTAACTTGCCCAGATTCGTCCCAGGAAAAAACGTCGGGTCTTGCCTTCAAACGTCTCAAAAGAGTTGCTGCTTTCGGGCGTAGGGTTACAGGTAAATGACCGATCACATCCGCGTCAGATAAAGATGCTCCCCCTCTGGACTTATGTTCCGTATCCGGTGTAATCCGGACTGTAGGTATCTGATCGTCCTTCTGCCGCCTCAAACTCAGATAATTGTCCATGTTCTCATTGTACATTTTCTGTTTTTCGACATCGGACATGTCTGTACTCCGAAGGATCTCTGACATCGCCGTATCCTGATGCATCATATTAGATGTAATTGGGGAGGTTTCAATCTTTTGTTTCTGCTCATAACGATTTAGCACGTCCTCCGGGACCAATACCATGCGTTTTGCATGGTTCATACCAGTAAACTTCCGAATACACTCAACACTGGTGGTAAGAGAGCCGATAATAAGTTTCCACCTTTTTGATTAAGGCGTTGTTTTTTCCATTTTCTCGACACTTTCTTGCTGGCCAGATCACAGAGATGTGTCCTGTAACGCCCTAAATGCCGCTTCTGACAAGGTGATCATGGGATGACACCCTTAAGCAAATTCAACGAACACTCGCAGATAGCCGTAATCACCTCCGGGGGAACGTTGCTAATCATGAATTTACGTAGTTTAGGTCCGCATTTCCCCATGACCTGAAGATACAGCAGACTTCCTTTCATGCGCTTTGACATCCTGAAAATGATCCGTTTTCAATACACGTCTAGCTTTTAAACATAAACAATCTGTCTTCGGCGTCATATGATGACAGCCAATTACCAAATATCCGTAAGGCTTGCCCGTCGCATCGTGAAATGCCTTCAAAAGGTATCCGGCATGTTTTGGAAACATCTGCCTGGCAAGTGTGGAAACACCAAGAGAGTCACGTGGATTTCTAAACACGATGAGAATGTGACTATTCAAACTAATCGTTCGAGAACGTTCGCCTGGCGGAAACAAATTCTGAGTAAGGTACAGCACGGACATGCCAAGGTGATGGGATTCACGTGTAAATAGGTCCGAGACATGTGGGTTCTTGGAACATTGTGACATTAAATCGTCTAGCACAACTAATGAGTTGTCATGTCCGCGCGTCATCTCGCATAAATTATCGGGAAATCCTTCTATCAGAGTTAAATTGGGCACAGACCGCAGCAGTTCTTCAAATTCTTTCTGATATATGCCGTAACAGTATATTATTTTGGTTGGCACGGGACTAAATAGTTCTTCATTCCGTAACATGGAATGAACCAAATAGGATTTTCTGCTCTGACTCTGTCCACATATAAAAAAATTTGCTGGCGTTTTAAATCTCACGTCCATCGTGTTCACATGCACAACACGTACTGTGTTATTATTTGGCGCGTCCGTTCGTTTTATGACCAGATCCGAGAAATTACTCTACGGAAAAAACTCTTCTTCAATCCGATATGCGCTAAGATCAAAACTTTTCAGAGGGGCTGCAACCAGACAAACAGCTCTACGCGTAGTATCTTCAGAATTGTGCATCAAATAAACTAATGTCAAACAGGCCATAGCTCGGCCAAAATTTATCACGTTGGTCGTGTTAAAAACAACATGCATTTCACTAGGATTAACATTGACTACCATTTGATTGTACATTATTTTGTGGCCCTCAAGTAAATCATTGACATGACGAGATAATGTTCTCATGTCAATATCAACACCCTGTGCTTGCAATTCATCTAGTATCACTTCCATTGCAATAAAACAACAAATGAATACAACATGTGAAACCATTTATTTATATACAACAAATTCATCTATATACAGCATATTAAATCCTATCTAAAAGTTCTATGTTAAGCTACAATTAGCTCGACGCACTAATTCTAGGTTTCCTAGCTACATTTCATTATATAACATTAAAAGTCACACGTGAATAAACGTTTTCGCGGGAAAATACAGAACAAGGTCCTATATTGTTAAAATGTTGTCCAAAATGTTCGTCCTTGTGCTTTTCGTGGTCGTAAGGTCATCGTTCGCGTATCATTGTACTGTGTTCAAAATTACCCATCTTCTGGACTGCTCAAGACTGGGTATTTCAACCTTTCCCAGCTAGGGAAAACAGAATTGGGTTGAAGTCCTTGACTTGAAAAGGAACAACATATCCTTTATAAACCTTTCAGCCATTATGTCCAACTTCCCAAATATTAGCCATATAGATCTACGATACAACCCACTCGACTGTACCAAACTGTTATGTGTAAGGGTACACATTGCAAGTGACTGTCCTACTACTACAGACAAGTCCACAGCACCGGCCATTAGATCGTCAACACATCGCGAATCCATCTTCGTGTTTATAAGTCCAACAGCACCTCGAACCTCCCTGGTGAAAACCATCACCCCTTCCACTGCAAGCATCCCGACCCCTTCTCTGACCGGAACCGGTAAGAACCATATCCTTCTACTAGTGTTATCAATTCTGCTACCAGCTGGCGCTACAGCACTCGGCATCGCCTGTTTTTACATCATTCGGAGGAGAAGGCGCCCCCTTCAGTTTATAGGGAACTTTTCGTATTGAACAATGCTCATCGCCACTTCTCAATCGATTCCCTGTCCTCTGATTCCCTCGACGAGGAAATAAACTATCTACAAGACAGCTCACTTTAACGTCTTTCTATAGTAAACAACAATATTTTGCTGCTATCATTGTTCTGTTATCAGCAACAATTTAATTTAGGGTGTTTCCCGCAGGGCCTGCAATACCTTCCTGTTGTGTTAATTTATAATGACATCCCTGAAATGACGAATGTATAAAAATAGCTTGCGTACAAAATGTTTTATTGTAAAGGAGACGTGAAACTTACAGCGCGGAAACGGTATCTATGTTTAAAGGGGAAGTCAAGTCCGTAATGTAAACAAACGGTTTGTTTACATCTTGAACTGCTGTATTTTTAAAATATGATGTACTGTCTGAATATCTAACACCATTTTGGTTCGCTATGCTTCTAAATGAATATGAAATAAAGTTTATGTTCAGAAAAATTAGAAACATTCGAAATTTGGGCAATTTTCACATTAGAGGTCCTCACATTGTTATGCGCAGAACCGATGCGCAGAACGGACTTCCCTTTTAAATGACCTCTGCTCTAAGTGATTATGTTCCGATAAACACTTGTGTGTTTGACAGGAAAACCAAATAGCTTATAATATATTATCTGACATAATGTTTATACAAGAGTAAACATACGTCTACACGCCCTTGAAACAGTTTGTAATATTAATGCAAAATACTATTAATTCTATGCTGTTCATTTCAGCGTGCCTATGCATCTAAAATAAGACCCGTTTGAAACACGCTAAAATGTACAGCCCTGTTAAAACCATATACACAGCACATGTTAAGAGCTTCAGTGTATATTAGTACCCACAATTTGTACATATAGTTCCTTTTACATATATATATATATATATATACATATACATATATATATATATACATATACATATATACATATATACATATATATACATACATATAAGACCTATGATCATAAAGCAATGTTTATATTTACAGTGTAGTGCGAGACATTGCTATTGTGTTTTCGCCACTTTCCAACCGCCCAAGTGACATCAGTTCGACAATAATAAAGTACAAATTAGGAGCTGAAGCCAAGATTCAGGTCAGAACTGTTGCGGGGGTTGGGACTATGGTTGAGGTTAGGGTTCCGATGGGGGTTAGGATCCGGGACTGAATTGAGGTCTGGGGGGTGGTCGGGATTAAGGTGGGGGTTGAGACTACCGTCGGGGGTCGGATCAAGGTCTGGGATGCAGCAGGGGTTAGGGTTCCGGTGGGGGTTAGGATCAGGGATTGAATTGAGGTTCGGGGAGTGGTCGGGATTAAGGTGGGGGTTGAGACTACAGTCGGGGGTCAGATCAAGGTATGGGATGTGGCTGAGGTTAGGGTTCCGATGGGGGTTGGGGTTAGGATCCGGGACCGAATCAAGGTTCAGGGAGTGGTCGGGATTAAGGTTGAGGGCCGGATGAAGGTTCGGGGTGCCACTGAGACTGAGGCTCCGACGGGTGTTGAAATTAAAAGCAGAGTTAAGGACCCAGTGGGGGTTGTGATTCGGATTAAAACCCGAGGTACGGTGGGGTCTGTGGTCCTGGGTGGGGGTGCGGAAATGGCTGTAGACCCAAACGTAACATTCTAATTCGATACCATATCTGGCATACCTAGTTGAAGAGAAAGTCGAACTATATAACTATAAGTTGCAGCAAATGCCAACTTGCGCAAATGCTAACATAAATGAAATAAACTTACAATCACTCTTGACGTCTATCCCCAAATCCCAAACGGTTCGACAGTCAAGTGTGGGGTTGTCCCGCACTTCAATATGTTGCAAGTTCAGGAAATATAACAAAAGCTGTTATATTAAAACTAACAAGGCGGTTACGCTTAAAGTCAATCGCCACAACCCATTCTTCTTCTGTTCTCCACAGCCCCTTGATGGTTTCCACCGCTAAGCCACTACAGTCCAAAAAACTTATAAAACGCTGTTCAAGACAAAATGGGGTGCTTCCATGCACAAAAAGTAAAATGCAAAACACAACAGAAAGCATTTCGTAGATCTGTCTAAATTCCGAGTGAAATATATCCTTTCATGTATACGAATAAATACTGGTCTAAACTACGTACGCTAATGAACCGGTTATTTCCTCCGTAATTATATAAACACTTTGAAAACTATGCATAAAGTGTGAGAAGACAGCGGTCATAGCTCAGCTTATCTTGAAATTGAACTATAATAATCATTCTTTCAAACATGCGTAATACTGGATATTTTAAATCACAATACTATGCATTGTTAATTTCCTGTAGCCATAAAAATAATCTGAAAAATATGCAGAAAGTGTGGGAAGACAGAGGTCGAAATTAATCATATTAAGCGTGCTAAACACAAATAAATATTGCACAATGTTCATTGGTAACTATTATTAATAAATGCTTAACGCTCATTTTCCAAAAGTGGAAGCAACAAATAAACAAGTGGAAACACAAAACGGCGGGAATCTCGCAAACAACAACAAGTCGACAACAAATCAAAAAGCTATGGGAAAAGACAAGAAAAAAGAAGCAGAAAGACAACGAAAAATAAGACTTGATAAAAAAACAAACAAAAAGGCTAGAGGCTTTTTGGGGATACGCCGAAAATAAAAATCCGACATTCCTCAACGAATTTCTTGCCTTCTATGAAGGCAAACAAAGCTCAAATCAGGAGACACAGCAAGAAGCCCAAGAAACCCCGCAGCAATCGCTGGGACAGTCGTCGGTAAATAATGCTGACCTGGACTTCCTAAACGATCCCAACAGTTTGGACTTTTTGGATAATATGAATTTAGACTTTTTTAATGACTTTTAGACAATTTTGAATAAACATTTTTATTAACACTATTCTTTATAACAATTTTTGAAAAATAACACTTATTAAATGTTCAAACTATTAGCAAAATCGTTTATGAATTTGTTTGCCAGGTAATGTTCCTCGTGCTTTTCGGTTGGTTTACTTGAAAGGGGTTCCACAAAACTGACATCTTGATGAGGCTCCTCAGGCACCCAATCAAAGTACTTGCATGAAGATTCCCCGTCATTTGAACAGCAGAAGAACTTTCGATCTTTATTGAGACCTTACTTTTTCACCTTACGAATCATACACGGAAACCCGTGGTGACACTCCGGTTTGACTAAAGGTCATACATCGCCCCATACCCAGAATTAACACGACTTCAGCTTGTTAGAACATACGAAAAACGGTCTTCCATAACTTGCTTTCATCAAATCTCTAATGACCCGCATTTTCGCAAGTTTACTATGTCCACCACATCGAGAATGAGGCTGTTTCGTAGCTCTCCATGCAGTTACGGCTTTTTCATACAAATAACCCTCATCTTCGCAACAAAAGAAATTGCAGCTAGGATTCTGATTGCAAAACCAAAATGAACCATTTTGAGTTGTCGAATGAGCAGCGGGTTCACCATGTAAGCACCTCATCTCTTCACAAAAGCTATGAACACATAAACAAAAATCGCTCGTCTCCTCTATTTATATTCTCCATCCAACACAGCTAACCAATCAGAGACGAGTATGATCATGACGTAGTTTAAGGGTGTACGTACACCGTGTACGTACACCATGTACATACAATAGTATATGTACGGGGTGTACGTACACTGTGTACATACACCCTGTACGCGTACGTACACCTCTAGTATAAATACACTTCCCCATAATCATCAACCACACATCGAAATGGAATGCATAGGAGTTCTACCAGCTCCTGAAGATGTTATACAACCAGCAAATATACCTCTATTCGGAATCCTGGCGGAAAATACCACAGAACCGGAACAGTGCTATTTCTGTTTTGAACAGATTGATGGAAATGAACTACTTGCGATGACGATGCAATGCTGTCAACAAAAAGCTCATTGTCGATGCTTCCAAGTGTGGGCGGCACATTACAACGGAACAGACATCAAAACCGTATGGTGCGGGTACTGCAGAACACCATTCCCGGACAAGGGAACTCTGTTACCTGTGCCTACAGAACAAAAACAACGGACAAGAACTGAACAAAACCCAATGCTGTCAAACAACGATCCATAAGAACTGTACGGAAATACTAAAGGAAATACTGGCCAAGCTGACATTCGAATTTTCGCTAGAATGTGGTGAATTAACCTTCTGTGCATGCATCTGGCACAAACTCTAAAAACATTATAATTATCAAAATCTCTACTGTAAACTACTGTAAAACTTAATAAATTGTTTTCAAATATTCATTGCTGTACGCCATTCTGAACATTTCCTTACTTTTGGGTTTCCATGATGTCATTACTTCCACCACTCCTGCATACTAATTACTTCCGGCACTCTATTCGCTCCTGCATACTAATTACTTCCGGCGCTATACGGGACTTCCGGCGCTATATGGGGGTAATACTGCTATCTGACACTGCAATCGAGCAACGAAAAATTTGTTGGCTTGAGCGGGATTTGAACTCGCATCTTCGGGTATCTATACCGCCGCTCTACCTATTGAGCTATCGACTCAACAGGGATTGGTAGCGAGTCTTATCCAATTTAAGTGCACGAAATATTTTCGTGACGACTTAACGCTTGTCTTAGAGGACGCACAGTGTTTCAATTCTATTTCAGAACCATCCTCAGAGATAGGAGAAACTAGTTTCATATTAATCTGACACTGCAATCAAGCAACAAAAAATTTGCCAACGAATTTTTCGTTGCTCAATTGCAGTGTCAGATTAATATGAAACTAGTTTTTCCTATCTGAAGTTTTCCTATCTGATGGTTCTGAAATAGAATTTAACGAAATTGTTTGAAATATTTTGCCCACCACACGAAAGGCCGCCATTTTGAAAAGGATAAATAGGCAGCTCATTAATATTCTATTTTGTGACTATTGATGATTGGAGATTCACCACAAATGCATGCCGAAACCTATATACTTGTCTAGTAATAAAAATGCATATCATGGAAACATGATTATTTATAATGCGACTCTACAAGACATCATCATTTCGCAGTTTCATGAATACAATGGCAGGCTAAAATTTGTTTCACCTGCCAAAAAAGGTTAGACTGGCAGGCACATTTTTTCTCTACTTCGAGCCCTGGACGAGTAAAATTGTCTGGCGTTGGACAATGAAAAAAAAAGTAGGGCGCATTGCGGCTGAATGGGTTAATAACTATAATTATAAGAGATCAATAGAGTTTGCTAACAATACGTTATTCAGGAATTCACACAAATTTCATATTAAATGATTATCGGATAATGCTGGGCATCAAGAATATATGGATAGTATCCTTCATACAGCTACATACATTTACAATAATATTCAGGCTAAATATAATAGTTGTTTTGTGTACTACTTAAAAGTGTTTTATCAGATAGCACGTTGTGTAAGTTGAGAAAATCAAAGTTAAAGTTTATATGTAAATCAAGGGAAATCTCTATCACATATAAAGTATTAAAGATACGACACACTTATGATTTTTGTTTGTGTTTTCCTCATGCATTATTAATGAGTTTTTGAACATATATTTATGCACTGTATATTAATATTTAAGGTGAACGGAATATTTAATAAATACAAACCGTATATGTACCTGTTCTAATACAGTAACCATAGCTGTTTTCATTTTGTAAATACTTTTATCGACCATTTGTGTTGCACTCTTGCTTTGTATATTTAAATAGATCTCCTTCTACAATTCAACAAAGGTTCTCAGAACTAATTTGAAGACAATTTCATATTTATTCAATATTTCTGGAAGAACCTTTAACAGATTTTTTCATTTTTAAGATAGATTTTTGTTCTTTATTTGTCCAATTCGGTGTTTATACAATGTTGATGAAAATAGACCAATTCACGATTGCACCCCTGTATAGCATTTGATCTGATATATCACATGACAAAATAATCCACAATTTGTGGATTATTTCACCAGCATTTACCAGGCCTTCGCCTCCTTCCTCAAAAGGCCCTGGGGACAAGGTTGGCTATTGATATCAAATATGCCAAAGCAGCTTAAACTTTGAAAGTAATATTCCGAATACATTAGTTCTATAAAGTTGTCTTGAAGGTAATTCATATTATATGTCTTGAAGAAAATATATTCGTGTCAAGCATTATCCCAGTTTGCCAGACTAGCCTAGAGCAGTCCATATAAAGTGTTTCTTTCTTAAAATTATACATTTTCAGTTGAGACCCCACAACATAAAGAGAAGCAATATGTTTTATACTGAACACCAGCACTTAGTAGGTTTAGGCATATTTTAATAACCAATAAGCTTGGCGGATATTTGCTGGTGGTGAAACATGCTTGGGTATAAAAGATCTACATGGCAGAATGAACATTTAGGGTGCGTTCCTTTAGTGCAATCCGGATTTGGATATTAAAATCTGATTATCAATTTCAACATATTGATTTTTCGGATTCAATCTGAAACTTGATTAGGATGCAAACGTTCCTTTTGAGCTTCTGGCCTTCTAGCATGTACCTTGACCCATCTGAAAGGTATAGTGGGACAGAAAACTTATTGTAAAAATGGCGGAGAAACAGCAGGCAAATACCAATTCTCACAAGTCGTTCCATTTGTTTAACGAATCCAAAAAATCTGAATCCTAAAAATCCAAATCTAGATTTACAAAAGAAATGCTTTTTTAATTACAATTTTATTGACCAATGTTGATCCACAGCCTGAACTTTTGAGCCTTTTAAATGAGCTCACAGCAAAAAGAAAAACTGTTCCAGAAAATTTATGTGTAAAACCTGCCGTCATTTCTTTTTACAATAAATTTACGAATGCCATAGACGTGAATGACCAATACAGGAGCTACTACCCTGTAAGAGTTCAATCTAAAAAGTGGTGGAAATATTTGGCTTGATTTTTCGTGAATACATTGATTGTAAACAATTTATTTTGCAAAACTTACAGACCGATCGACTCTGTCACCTAAAACATTTAGATTTCCATCTTGCTTTGGCAAGGCAACTTATTTCAACGTATAGCGGCTACAAAAAGTTTGCTAGTCCTCCGAGTAGCTCTGTAGCTGTAAAAAGGAACTTCCAGTGGGTAGAAATGTTAAGGGCCATAGCTTAGTATTGTCTTCAATGAGTCAAAAACGAGCGTTTGTTGTGTTAGAAAGTTGGAATGGACTAGTGAGCGATGGGAAGAACGTTTGAAAGTAGATTATAAAAGTGCGTTCAATGTAATGTAAATATTTGTAGAGCGAGCTTGTTTTATGGAATGGCATCAATAAAGTTAATCTTAGATAAAACCTTTTTCATATTTGCATATGTTTTTTGTATTATTAAATTGTGTTTTAAATAAAGAAGGCTGGCTCTTTGCCAGGCTTTTAGCCAAGCCAGGAAGCCATGTTTGTGCTGACAAGCATCAAGGTGTCAACAATACATTTCATGGGAAATTTCTCCCAAATTCCTACTTGTTTAGTTTCATTTAATAGTATATAAATTTCAGATATTTTATCAATGAAATCAACAAAAAACCTGGGTACATTTTGCTCAGAAACAGTATTGTTATTCATCGAAGAAACTTATTTTATAATGATAGCAAGTCAAAACTATTCATCACAAAATGTCCTTCCTAATGTCCTTCCAAATTCCACAGCAGTGTCCTACATAAACAACGGAGGGGAGACACATTCACCAACTCTGACATATCTGGCAATAGAGATATGGAACTTCTGCATCTCTCAACAGATATGGATTACAGCGAGACATGTTCCCGGAGTGATGAACACCGAAGCAGATTTGGCATCGAGGCATTTCAACACCGGTGATAGGCAACACCGGCGGCATATATTTGAAAAATATTTATTCTCAATCGTGTTAAATCGAGGCCAGTTGGAATACTTGTAATTTTACCTGTGGTTGAAAATCCAAAATGTTCTAGTTCACCTTTTAAGCTAGCAAGGTGGATCTTAACCTTGAAACAAATGATAGCAATATTAATTTTATTTTAATACAACGACGTTAAACAGGACATTCTACACCCCAGAGGTGGATCTATTTGTATCTTGAATCAACAACCAGCTACCACGCTATGTGGCAAAGATACCCAGGGTCGGTAGCAACAGATGCTTTTCTCCAGCACTGGGGACAGTGGACGGTGTTCATACGTGCTATTACCTGTTTATAAACAATCAAGGTACTACTTAAAAACTTTGTATTTTTACATTGGTAGCATTAGCTTATCATGGACTGTGATTTATATTGTTTGGGTTAAATACAACTGTTTACTTTTGAGTGCTTCAATAGTGATGACAATGTGATTTACATAGCTATCTTTGTATATTTGCACCAGTATAGCGAGTATCAGTCGGAGAAGGTACTGAGGAGAAATAAAATTTCCCTGGAGGGTAAGGTACTTACCTGAAGGGGAGATGTATTCTCCAAGCAGTGGCGTAGCCAAGGGGGGGCGAGGGGGGGCGGTCGCCCCCCCCCCAATAGTCTCCAAAACCGCTCTTGTGAAAAGTTCAAATCCGGGGAGATATTGGGGGGGGGGATGAGGTAAGCTACGAGTCAAATCCAAGTAAAAACTTCCAAACAGCGCATAATTATCTGATCATTTGCGTGATCTTCGTAGACGGAAATTTGAAGTAGGTGCATCCGGCTTATTGCATCAAATTTCAGAAATATTCAAAACGTGTTGCAATGCTTGCGTGTTTGCGTCATAAACAGTATTATTTTATATGTGTTTGTATCATGTTACATGAGTCTACAAAAATCATGTAATAACCACTCAGCCTAATTAGTCTAGGATGAATATGCAAATATTTTAGAGCCTGGACTGACGTAATCAGGCACGTTTCAGTTTAGGCATTGGCTAAAAACTATTGAAGGAATTCGCTTGCTCATACTGTATTGCATGAGACATTATGTCATCGTTCTAGCAATAGTAATTAGGTCATAATTTTAACTCCATCCGTCAGTATAAAAAGCCTACATAATCTAATCCATTATTCATAGCCTCATAGCCCATACTCGCGTATTATGCAAAATGGCTGAAGCTTCTGCTCCTCCTGATCTCTCAACATATCAATATGACCCTTGCTGTCCCTTGCCAACTGGAAGGGCAGCAAGGGATCACGTAATAAGCAAAGGACCTTGCCGGCCTAGAGATCATATTTTTCCTGTGGATAAGCGTAATCGTAAGTTTCTAGATCTTTCTAGTGTCGTGGTACGAAAAATTCGATTGGCTCGAGTATTCAGTATCATTAGACAAAGCGTTTTGTTTCGTCTGCAGAGTGTGCAACGCACAGGTGAGTTGTTTTAAGTATTTTGTATTATTTGCGTTTTCATTCTCGTTAAGATATAACTTTGTTACTTAAATTGCCTGAATTGTAAACTTGAGCTACTAAATGTTTATTATCTATCGTACTTATCGTATTTTTTGCACTTTTGCAGGTCTCATTAAGAAGCGAGCCAACATTTATCAAGACTGGATTTTCCAATTGGAAGAAAGTTGAAAATCTTTCAAAGCACGAGAAATCAGATTGCCACAAGCATTCATTGCAAGCGTATCGTCACTGGAAATCACAGAAGCCAGTAGATCATCAGATGAGCGAAGAAGCTGAGAGGCAAGAGAGTTATCGTCAACAAAATGTACGTCCCTCTAATATTTGCTGATGGAAAACAACTAGCTTGCATTTATAATGTCACTATACTAAATTAATCAGTGTCTGTATACGCTGATAAAGAACCGTCCTGATTTGGATAAACTTTTCTCGCAATTTTCTAAGTTTATAACATTTATTTTTTAAACATAATTTGAAAACATGATTGTCTGTTTGAGGTCGTTTGATAAGTAATTTACAAAATTTGTGTCCGTTCTGTATCAGTGTACACAGATACTCGTGCGAAGCACTCGTGTCTGTATACACTGATACGGAACGGCCACTTATTTTGTAAATAGTACTAAAAGTAGGTGTATTAAAGAATGTTTAGAATTATTTTCTATATTGTAGATACTAGATCTTATGAGCTCCTCAATTGAAAGCCGTTTCGACAAACATAATGCGCCAGTTCTAAAGGGACTTGGATACTTGGGTCCATCTCGTTTAGCCAGTCCAGAAGCTTGGGAAAACATATCTTTAGCAGTCCAGTGGTTCCAAAGTGACCTAGATGTTGATGCATTAGAGAGCGAAATCTTTTCTTTGCAGACATCATTGCTGCTCACCAATGTCAATAAAAAAGCGAAGTCCGAGAAGAGAAAGGCCAGTTTTGACGACCTATTCAAGGTGTTGCAAACGGAGCCAGAATGCTACGGAAACGTCATAAAGCTAATGAAAATAACTTTGACACTGCCACTTACCTCAACTAGTGCTGAAAGAGCATTTTCGAAGTTGAAACTGATCAAGTCCAGACTAAGGTCAACAATGAAGCAAGAAAGGCTAGAAAGTCTTACGCTGATGTCTGTGGAAGCCGACATATTGGAACAGCTTGATCTGGAAGAGCTTGTAGAAAAATTTGTAGATATGGCTCCAAGAAAAATGGATTTAGTTTAAAGTTAGATGGATTCAGTTTAAATTTAGATAGCATAGCAAATGTGTAATGATGACAATAGGTCAAAATTTTATGAAGTTTTCAGTTGGTAATCAACATAATTATTAAATCTAAAGATTTTGTCAAGGGTATTGCGTCTTGTTCTAGAGTAATACAACCGAATTTTGTGATTTATGACCGTCCAATTACTTTAAAAACTCTTATCAGAATGCAGGAAATGGCGTTTCCGAGCCCTGGAAACCAAAATTTTCCCGGGGGAGCATGCCCCCCCTAGGGGGTTCGTGGCTTCGCCACTGCTTGCCCCCTTGCTTCGCCACTGCTTGCCACCGCTTGCCCCCCCCAAATATTCGACCCTGGCTACGCCACTGCTGAACTATGGCATTCTCATCATGCTTGTTAGGCTCTGCAGTGAGAGACATGTCCTTCAGGTGTATTTCCCTCAAGCATTAATTGTTTGCAAGCATGTAATGCTTCCTGAAAGTGACCATGAAAAGTAGTGCCTTTCATGAATATCAATTCAGCAAATTGTTCTGCTTCATCAATCTCTTGTTCATCATTCTGTTCCAAATCAGCATTCTGTTCTTGTTTAGCATCCTGTTCGTCTATATCACTTACATGTATGTCCGGCAACCTTTGTTCCAGCACTTCATCAAGTTGATCTTCAAATTCATCATCAAGATCTGGTGGAAAGTTGTTTGGCATTTGAGTTTCAGGGACCTTAAAAACTGCCAAGTCAATTAAGACCTTGCCAATTATTGGAAAGCGTGAACAACTACAAGTTGTCCTTGTGATGTCCAAAAGTGGGCAAGTACCACTGTTTTCATCATCATCATTGTCAGGTGGGTAATTTGGTGCTAATGGCATGGCAGTGGTTGATAGAAGCACATCAACATCAAAATCCCAAATCAGCAGTAGTTCATCATATTGACCAGCAACATCCTCCTCATGAAACTAAATTCATATCAATAAGTATTTTTTAAACTCTAACAGTACTTGCATTGGGTACACGGCCAGAAATCTCAGACTTGCTGCAAGTTGAGGAATTTACCTGGCTGACGCAAGCTGATGACAGGTTGCGTCAGTCCTGATGAATACGTCAAGCTGTGACAGACCTGATGCTACCTGTCTGTCGCAACTGGATGACCGAGGGCCAGCAGCAAGTTGACGAGCGCAGCTTGCAGCAATGCTGTTGAAAACAAGTGGCAACAGGCTTGTCGTTATCAGTTTGCAACAGGTCTGATAAAATCAACAGGCCTGTTTCGACCTGATGTGAACAGACCACTGCGGCTTTATGTTCACAAGCTTGCAACAAGTTGATAACAACCCGCTACAGACTGGTTCACATCGATCCACATGGGACTTGTAAAGAGATAAAAGGAATTCACAGCTCTTCAATTTCATCGCTTGTGTTTATTAATCAGATTGCAAGTTTTTGTTAAAAACGAGGTTAATAAAGAATATATATATGTTGTTTTCGTATGAAATACACATTCTCTATATATCGTAAACAAGTCATATTGTTTATAAAACTATATATAAAACTACAATATTGACATTTATAATACAGCAGTACCAGGGTGCATTCCGTGTAAACCTCACGCCGAAGATAATCTGAGGTAGTGTTACCATGCGCCAAGTGAGGTCAACTTATGCGCCGGCTGATCGCGGGCACCATGATTTTTCATTAAAGTTGCTTAAAATTTAAACTTGCTAAAAAGGCGTATAAAGCATTGATGAATAAAATGTTTTGCTGATGAGCACTGTTGTATCACAAGTTATAACCACCATTTAGCTACTATTACAACCAGAAACACAAATTTCTCGAGTCCCTAAATAATTATAGAGGCCAATCACCAGGCGATTATTAATACTCAAAGTCTAGCTTAAATTAAACATTTGAGGTCATTTGATGCTGCACCAACCACCAAAACTCAAAACTTGTGCGCCAGCAATTTAAGACTCATGCCGAAGATCTTCCACAAAACGTGCATGGAATGCACTCTGGCAGCAGTAAATATAACTTTCCAAAATAGATTACCTCGATCGTTGCACGTGTTGAGCAAGAAATAACATGTCATTATTATTGTATCATTATATATCAATACTTCATTTACATTGTCTTTATAGGACAAGAACGATATTTGTACAATTTAACATCATTTACACAATTTACTTTGTATTATTATTATTTATTGTTTGAACATCAATAATAGGCCATATTCTGTGGCCGCTTATCGTTCAGTTCCGCTGCCCCCATTCGGGGTCTACTTTTAGTTTACATGAATCTATAGATTTTGATACGCTGAGTACAAATTCAGTTGTTGTAACTCGCACAGACCTGCAGTTTTTTTGTATTTTACAATCAAACATCAACATTTTTTATTAAAATTTCCGCCATTTTGTTCAGGAAATTTCATGTTATATACAGTTATTGTACTAGTCCAAGTCTCTTAGCAGGGGGTTGCACGTGGTATTACGCAGTTTGTTATCATTCTTCTGAGAAAAATATACAGAAATGAAATAAAAATATAGATATTTTTTCACAATATAAATGCAAAAGGTACTGGTACATGTTTGTAAGTAATTAGAAATTAATCTATTATTCTTTATTGCATCAACTTTTGTTTTTTTTGGCTAATCATGATGTGAAATTGCAATGACTGTCACTATATCCACAAAGACTCTCACAGCTAGTCTCACTTGTCATTGGTAAAGTTGTTTATTTTAGTTATTACTGAAATTATGTACATAATTTTGGCTTGCAATGTGAATATGGTGCCAGAATAGGCAATTTTTCTTTGAAATTTTTGTCAACAATGAATAAGGAGCACAATATATTGTTCAATAAATGTTAGACCTATTTGTAGACCATTGCCCATCAAATTATTAGTAGCAGTTGACCTCAATAAAATTAACTCATCTATTTAATAAATCTGCACATAATTATTTCCATTTTCTTGTATTATAATAACATTTTTCCTATATTATGGGACATTGAGCTTTATAAATAAAAACTTTTGGAAGATGGCTTTCACTCTCTGACAGACAGGCTACTTTTTGTCTGTTTATATGGAGTTAACCCAACCTAGATTAGCTATATTTCTTTAATTACTTTATTGTTATTTAAGTATTTACATTAGCAAATGGTGGCTGCACAGGACATAGCCCCAATTATTACAGCTACAATACTAGAAATACATGCATGCAATAACCCCTCGCTTCTTTTCAAAAGATGTATACTCAGTGCTCAGAGCTGTTGCGAGGACTTTGTCAGTTGGGGGGGAGTGAGGTTAGATTGGGGGGGGGGGAGTTACGAAAATGTTTCCGTATATACAAGAATTTTTCGGGACATATCATAATTTTTCCAAAAATAGGCAAACAGTTATTTTCCAAATTCACTTTCTCATGTCGTCCTGAGAATTACCTGAATTCCCCTGAAAATCTTCTGCAAGTCTACTTGAATAGACCTTATGCATAATGATGTCACAAGGCTTGATGCTCGCGAGGAATGCTGGTCTTAGTAGTCAAAATTAAACAATTCAAAATGGCGACTATCAAAATTTTCCCGGGCTGTGACTACTAAGACCAGCATTCCTTGCGGGCCTTGTGACATCATTATGCATAAGGTCTATTTACCTAAAAGTTCACTGGAAATCTACCTGAAATTGCTCATGAGCAATTATCAGGGGGGTGGCACCCCCCCCCCCCCCCCCCACCCAC